CATTCATCTGAAACCTTTTGATTACTGATGAGTATCATTCACTTGACCTCAATGTTCTGTTATATTTGTTTTAGTGCAATAGATATTGTATTTCTTGGTGTGATTTCTGGTTTTCACGGAGGGGAATATGACAATTGTCTTCTGGTACATTGCGCCGTGTAGTCTTATTGCCCTTATGATTAAGGTAGCAAGCATCTCTGAAACGTCGGTAAACTTCTACCAGACTACACGGCGCAACGTCCCAGAAGACAGTAATTTCAACTGTAATTATTCTTTATCTCCTATCTGAAAATCTATCGCCTGAAATTAATAGCTCACCTCCGTATACTGCCATAGATCCAAAGAATACGTCCGTTTGGAGTAGCGCATTAAGGGGACGGATTTACGTTTTAAGCAGACATAAGCAATGAATGATGATGACAATGATGATAATGCATTTATGACACCAAACTCAAGTATGTTGTTAAAATAGTTGCGTCTTCCATTGGAATCATTTCAAAAGATCTTAACAGGTACATAAAACTCTACAGTTATAAAAGAACAACTGCTATTAACTGTAAAATAATCTTCCCCCACAGCCCATAATTTTATAAATGTTTATCAGCCTTTACGATCAATCAAATCTATTTGTAATTGAGAATTACTAAAAATAGTATAATAATATAAATTCTTATATTTTGTTAAACGAAATATCTATCTAGTCCATACATAACGCATACTAAATATATCTTACTATAATGACAATCTTGGAAGTATAATATTGTCCGGAAGAATGAAAAAGTTAGACACTTCTTTCTTACTGACAGTGTAGGAGGAACCCACTCTTTGGAAAATTCTGGTATCCCACTATAATCACGTTGATTCAAACCAATCGCTGGTAACATGCATATAAATGTAGCACCGTGCTCTTATGTGACAATGAGAGTTTTGATGAGTCGAATTAAAGATATTTCTGTGTCATAAAGTCGGGTATCGATTAGGCAAGACGTACGAAAGAAAACAGTAGCTCGTGTAGATATAAAACTGATAAGGAGACTTTAATTTCTGTGATAATAAACTCTATGTAGGCCAAAACAAAAGGAGTTGAAAATTATATAACCTTACATTGAGATGTCTTACCTCGGCTATGGCCTAGATACGCCCCCTTGCCCCCTAGTGCTTAGATTTACCTCGGGGGACGTATCAACTTGAAAATGAACTCCATACCTAAACCGACCTACTAAAGATTTAACGTAGTGGAAATAGCATGACTCAGGTTTCTGGTGTCGTGTCGGATTACACTTCTGTGAAGGACTATGGGGGGTGGTTTCTGTTCAACTTCGCGAAAGTAATTTAATGAATACCAAGGTTGGTTGCTTGTCAAGATGCTTTTCTTACGCGAATCTTTTTAATTAATAAATACATGTAAGGGACAATTTAGTTTAAAACAGAGCCCTTTATCAGTTCTCGATGCAATTTTGACTATATAAATCCTGTTCTTATCACGAATTAAACCTCGTTTAACCAGCCCGTATCAACTCACGGTCACTACTTTGATATTTAGTCAATTACTCTAGAAGTTTAGCGACGTTTCAATCATCAGGGTTTATCACCCTACTTGATGCAACGACTCAGAAGACCGCCATTGTCAGCCCTTTAGATAGTTGGTAATTATTCCGTTCATTGACAGGCATTAATTACACAACAAATAAACAGTTTATTCGTTAATGTATCAGTAATATAATTATGTAGTTTAAATCCAAGCCAGAATATACTGACGTAAGTAGAAAATAAACTCGGTCCCTCAGACTGTGAGACGATACGAGTCGCCAGACTCATTATAATATTAACAGGAGAAGTTCTGAACATAGATACTAGGAGGCGAACCATCGCTTCATAATCATCTCATGAATGCTAATAGCCGAACCAGAAAACTTCCGTGTTCAGTATCAGGTGACCAATATTTGAAAGTTGTCGTAAGTGGATGCATCTACTCACTCCCACTGTTGTCATCTGGCAGGCCCTATCGAGTTTCGAGTACAAATTTGAAAAGAGGTTTGGCTAACCGAAGCAGCGTTACTCTCTCGAGCAAAGAGATTATCACATTTAATCTTCTCCATGAAGGCGAATGTGAAAATAGCTTTCTTCTGTCATGTTACGCCGCGTAGTCTGGTAGAAGTTTATCGAATTTTCAGAGGACATGATTACAATTCTTACACTTATTTATACATTGTTTTTGTTTATTAAACGACCCTATCAGTAGCTCAAATTTTATAGTGTCAAATGATGAAATCACTGAATAATCAACTGGAGAGGTTATATTGGGAAGTGGTTGTGGTCTATTTAATGTGTTATATCGATATTTTCCTGAAGGTACTGATGAATACGACAAAACCTCAGTCAGAATAGCAGATCTCCGGACAGAGGACTCAACCAGGGATCTCCCGAATACGAAAACGGAGTGCTATTCATTCAGCCACAACATTTATTAAAATTCCTAAAGATGGCTTTAGAACATGGGTGGGAAAGTATGGACTGTGAAAATTCTGGCCCGGTTCGTTGTGATATTAAGGTATTGAATCTGTTGACAAAAAGGCACGATAATTTATTTATTTTAATTTTTCACATATTAAGCCATTAGTGCCAGAACCTAGCCTTGTCGAAGTGCAAACTGCTATTGAGAAGTTGAAAAAAGTATAAATCCCCGGGCAATGATCAGATTCCGGCCGAATTAATCAAAGCAGTAGGCGAAACGCTGCGATCCGAGGTACACGAACTTATTTGGTCTAAATGGAATAAGGAACACATACCACAGCTTCGGTGTTATATACATTTCATAGTTTTCCCTGAATTCAATTAATATTGTGACTACGCGAATGTTTGATGCTTAATTTTTATTAATAAACTGAGACGTACATTGATCTATATTCCAGCTCGTGTGTTTCTCCCTATTACTACAACTACACGCACTCAGTACAGCAAGTAAAATTATTATTTTATGTTAAATTTATTATACATCATCTGTATTTAAGCCATCGCCTGTTACCTTTTTCTTCTTACGCCTCATCCTTTGCTTCTGTGATTTCCTATTATTCCTCCTCCTCCTCGTGTATCTCCCGTAATCATAATCATCATCTCCTCCTCCATCATCTCCGTCGTAATCCCCACCCCCTCCTCCCCCCTGTGGTGGAGAAAACCTGAACCAGTAGCATCCTGCTTGCTTCCTCGGCAGTCCTGCAAAACGTCTTCCTCCGCCGAAACCTTAAAAAAAAATCATAAAATTAGCACAAAATTAAGTGTCTAGACACTTTTCGGACCTAAGACTTGATTTTTACCACGTAAAAGTTAATTTAATTTAATTCATTTCAGTGCCCGTGTTACGAATGAGTCTAAAACATTTTTGGGCATATCTCTAAGTAGGGGAGAAAAAAATGTTACGGGCAAATGTTTTAAGTATCAAAATGTTGCCAATGTCTCACACTAATATGGTATGTCCACTTCGTAGTAAGAACACTGTCCACGTGAGTGTACCATCAAGAACGCTGTCTCCTGATAATGCCACGAAACATTCGCCTTGCATTATCTAAACTTACCTTTCCTTTATATCTTACAAATTGCGCATATGTTCGTCTCTTTTTTCAATGTTGTGGTAACTTCAGTACTAATTTAATTGAAGTGAGCGAACACCGAGGTACAAGTTTGACACGCAGTACGAGATTTGTCGTATATCTTGTGATAATCAGATATTTTCTTGCATCCGTGTTACCGCATCAAAGAACATAGATAAACAGTCTAGAGTAGAAGTCATGAAATTTCATGCTTCAAGGTCACGGAAGGATATCGCACGAGTCTTAAGTTTACAGTACAGCTTTGCTACTCAGCGATTTCTGAACTGTGTTTACTCGCCTGTGCTCCGTTCTTCGTGTTAAAATGTCGCACTGTTTCGCTTTGACTTTGAAGCGTACAATTTAGTGACGGTTGCTGGAACTGGTTCTGTGACGGTAACGTTGTACTGTGATAGCTACGCCGACCTGAGTTCGTGTTCACGTAAACTTCTTTCTTTGCTCTGATCTCTTATATACGCATCACATTTTATTATAAACTTCTAAATAAGCATACGATAGTTATATTATGCAAAAAAGCAGAACTACATTTATACCGAAAACTTTCAAACAAAAATTTCTCATTACTTCATTTAGTGATGAATATAATTATTACATTAGTATTAATATATAGCTTATGAATATATAAGGAGTATATTTTAATATTGTTTACCCGGGGTAGCTTAATTAAACTAATAAACTCTCTGGCACAGAACCCTAAAGTTTAACACCGTTAATACAAAAGCCCGCTAAGAGAGACAGCCCTGAGCCAGTTTCATTCAACTCCAATTGTCACAACCTACTTTCCTAAGATCTGTCTTAATGTTATCCTACTCGGTAGGTCTAGCGGTTAGAACGCTGGCCTTGTAATCCTGGGGTCTCGGGTTCGATTCCCGGTGGTGCCCGAATTTATAACTTGTGTTGGGCAAGGCCGTGGTCTAGGCAACACGGAGTTTTCCTCCGTGGCATCCCAACAATTACTCCATTCACACACAGAAGAAGGCAATGGCAAACCACTTCTGGATCATCTGCCAAGAACGTATATGAACAGGTCCCAGTCCGAGAAAAGGATGGAAGGATCCTGTGCATATGGACCTGTCGTCAGACAGAACACTAAATATTAATAAATAACTCGGTGGTTATCGAAATTTTCCAACATTTCCCCACCAAAATTCTTTTGGCGTTTCTTATCTCCTTCATTTAATGTTAAAATTGGCACGACAATTTAGATTATAATATCTAAAATCTAATAACTTTAAATATTTGTATAATTTCTTCAATTAACGATTGGCGCACTTAATAACTGCTGTTTTAGACATGTTCGTTGACTGAATTTGTTAGTAAAATTCAATATTCGGAAATAATATTTTTCAGAATTGTCGACATCTGTGGCAAAATTAGACAAGATCGTAAACAAAATAATACAAAAGTTCTAAATATTTATTGGAAAAAGAAAATATTGTTACAGAAAAAATGATTAATCTACTTGAGTAGAAATGATAATGACAGGCTGTCAGAACTTACGCTTCCCTACAAACCGAATATACTGAAAGGTCTGACAAGTCTTGCGCCAATAAATGGTAGACGAGGGAAACGGACACTAATGTGGCATGTTCTAATTCTTTGCAGAACATACGTCGTGCTAATGATGAAGCTATGAAGACAAAAGAATAACGCCTACTTCGGAACCAACGGTGAGTACAATGAAGCAATATGGTAACTATGCATCAAGTACTGAGGGTGTGGTGTATGATCTGTCATTTTTTTTCATCTTCTTTTGTTTACGTCTCTTTACTTGTTTCTGCGATTTTCGCGAATTTCGTTTCTTTTTTCGCCGCAATCTGCCATCTTCCTCTTCACCGCCTTCATCATCTCCTTCACCATCCCCACCCCCATCATCACCACCATCGTCTCCGCCTCCATCATCTCCGCCTCCATCATCTCCGCCTCCACCGTCTCCACCTCCACCGTCTCCACCGCCACCTCCTCCACCGCCTCCACCGCCACCACCGCCACCTCTTCTTCGCGGCCGCACCCACCAGAAGCACCCTGCATTTCCCCCCGGATGACGCCTTCCAGGACCTTCACAACACAAGGCGATTTGTAAGAGATTTCTTAAATGAAATAGAAACCTAACCAAATTTAGTGAGTTATCTCTTTTTCACGGCGTCGGGCATGAATATGGCTGTCTTCAGGGTTGTTACTCCGTGTAGTCTGGTAGAAGCTTACCGACGTTTCAGAGGTTGATTTTGTCTTTATCATCGATCGCCCTGATGATGGAGGCAGTAAACACCTAGGAGACGTCAGTAAACCTCTTCTACACTAAACACGGCGTAACACCCCAGAAGACAGCCATCTTCATAACCTTATGTTTTCCCCACTACCCGTTTTCAGATTTACTTAAACCACTTGCGGACGGACGTGAGCCGGGATAGCTCAGTCAGTATAGTGACTAGCTACGGGCTGGACGGCCGGGGTTCGATCCCCGACGGGGGCAGAGGATTTTTCCTCTAGCCTCTGCGTCCAGACCGGCTCTGGGGCCCACCCAGCCTCCTCTACAATGGGTACCGGGGTCCTTTCCCGGGGGTAAAGCCGGCCGGGGCGTGATGCTGACCACTCACTCCCATCTAGTGCCGGGGTCAAGGAAGAGAGGAGCTATACCTCCTCTCACCCCAAACGCCTACATGGCGTATAGTGGGACAAACTTTACTTTACATGCGGACGGACGCTACCTACAGGCCGGAGAGTGCAGAGGTTAAGAATAAAAGGAGGTTTGCCTCCATTCCCTCCCCTTATTCATGGCGCTGTGCTGAGTATCAGGCTATCAGCACCGAACTTAACAGATGGTGGTAGAAGGTGTGATTCACATTCACATTTGAATCTCGACTGGATTTCTTCACGGATGTTTTCCTCAGGCCTCATAGATAAGTGCATCTATTGTCCACGAGCGATTTCTATTATGTGAATAATGATTTATATTCGTCGTGTGTTACATTTCGACTCTACAGGTGCAGAGCATTTACATAAACCACGAAATAAATAAATAAATGCAATATGGAAATGTTAAGAATTATTTTTTAAACTGAATTGGCAGAATAATCCACTCATATATTCTGTGTTATTTTATTAATTTGAAGTATAAAATGGTCACTATAGAATAATGGGGTTGAATTTTTCACAGTTCAGTAAATAAATCTGTATACAATACTTGTAAACAGAGGTACAGGAAATTAATTTTAAGTTCGGGGTGAAAATTATTTAGGATATATATATATATATAATAGATATTAAATTATTTAAGAAGTTGTGATTTAGACACTTGGGGAAAAAATTAGTGTCACACTGGTTGCAAGTAAGAGAAAAATAGATTAAAGAAACATTTTCTCATTGTTCAGTTCTTATAAATTGTATCGTCTGTTGTCGGGACAGACAACCAAAAAGTTGAAGGATCTGTTTGAACCTGGACGTGTTTAAGTAAATGATAAGAACATCTTGATTTCTGTGCTTAGGGATTACGGTGACGTTGGTACGAAACTTTTATGAAACAAGATACGTATAAGGAATTTTGGTGGGGAAACCTGTAAGCGTTTTAGACTAATATAAAGATAATATTAAATGGATCATAACTAAAACATATAGTACGAAAGCTAGAGTAACTTTGAGCGGAACTGGCTCTTAATAACATTCAGTAGAATATTTATTTTTATCGTGTTGAATATTAGGTCTGTACCAGAGAGTCGGTAGTTCGGTGGCTTGGGACCACTTGGCTTGATAGGGTGGAATTGGAACAAACTGGGTTGAAATGATCTAGTTTGGTTCAAATGTGTTCTGCTCGATTTGGTTGTGTGAAATCGTACTGGATTGGTTTTATAGTATCGTGTGTTGTGTTGGTTGGAAATGGTTTGACGTAAATGATTTTAGTTCGAACGAACTTAGTTGTGCTTCGTTGCATTGGTCTAAGGTAGGGACGGATTGATTCGGTTTATTTGGAAAATATTGGGTTGCATTCAGTTTACCCTCGTGACCTACCACTAATTCACCTGTATTAACCATTAAGTATGCATTGAGAAACTGTACCTTGCTTCGGAATCATTCCGTTTCGTCTTTGTTTCTGCGATGACAGATTATCCTCTTCATCATCATCATCATCATCATCATCATCGTCTTCCCCTTGATCATCTTCCTTGTTATCATCTTTTTTCTTAGCACTTTTGCCACCTTTAACCTGACTTTTATTTGCATTTTCTCTTTTTCGCCTCGACTTCAGAAAATCGATTGTAGGAAACAGCCTTCCTACCTCTCCTGCAAAGCAAGCAAATCGATTTTCATCAAAATATTTACGTCTAGGCAACACGGAGTTTTCCTCCGGGGGCTTCCCCGGTTTCTCCGTGGCATCCCAACAATTACTCCATTCACACACAGAAGAAGGCAATGGCAAACCACTTCTGAATCATCTGCCAAGAACGTATATGAACAGGTCCCAGTCCGAGAAAAGGAGGGAAGGATCCTGAATGCCGTGGTCTAGGCAACACGGAGTTTTCCTCCGTGGCATCCCAACAATTACTCCCTTCACACACAGAAGAAGGCAATGGCAAACCACTTCTGGATCATCTGCCTATAAAACATATGAACAGGTCCCAGTCCGAGAAAAGGATGGAAGGATCCTGTTCATATGGACCTGTCGTCAGACAGAACACTACAAATAAAAAACAAATCATTCAGTAACACAGCAAACCCTCCTCCAATACTGATTTGTCATACGCGGTATTTGATTATACGCGTAAAAATAAATGCGTGCAATTATTTTCCGAATGCAGAAAATTCCGTTATACGCGGTCTGTTCCAAATACGATGAAGTAACACACGGAAAATACCTCTGCTCTTTTGATTTTGTTTAATTCAAAGTCTGGAACAGTGTTTGGTTAAACTGTTATCCCGATTTCTTCCTCCCACGCCTTTTATTCCATCTTCGTCTGTCAAACCGCATCTAATCCGCGGTTACAGTCTCTCTCGCTTGCGCTGTTACCGTGTTAATTTGATTCGTTTTGTTTTACTCGTATTTTATTGTCTATGACACTTTCCTTCGACAGCATTTTGGAATCAAAAACGCAAATATAAAGGTGATAATGAAGCAAAGAAAAGTTGTTAGGTTATAACACTAGATTAACACAAAGATTCTAGATAAGTTGCGCCTTTGTATGAACTTAGCAGCTGTTAGCCTGACTTTCCGGTGATACTTTATTATATTACAGTCTGTTATGCACATATTATTACAATATGTTGATGATGTCTTTATTTTTATTTGAAAATGGCTGTCTTCTGGGTTGTTGCGCTGTGTAGTCTGGTAGAATTTATACCTATCATGCAGCAAAGACCTCTGAAACGTCGGTAAATTTCTACCAGACTACACGTCGCAACAACCCAGAAGACAGCCATCTTCAGACTCACAGCCGTGAAAACCTCAAATCTTTATTTATTTACTTAGCTTTCCACAGACGCGTTCCCCTATCCCCATTAATCTTATAAAATATTCAGTTCGTCCAACACGGCTTCACCAAAAGCGCCGCTTTCGAGGAATGTATTCCCGGCGTCGGACGAAGGTTTGCTCTGTTACAAGTATTGAAGTGTTTTTTATTGAAATTGTCTGCAAATGTATTTACAAACAAAAGAAGTGGAAATTTAACAAAGTTTTAGATGTTCTTGCTGCTTAAATCAAGAAAGCAAGTACTTCTGAAACGTCGTTCAAATTTTGCTTGACTACAAGGAGCAACATCCCAGAAGACTGTCGTCTTAATTATCAATTTGAGTTCCATTTGGGTATTTCAACATTTACCTCATTGTTTCTGTCTGAAATACCTGAGTCTCCTGCCTGTCTTCTCAAATGAGCTATTTCTTGAGATGTGACGTAGACCGATCGACTTCTCCCTTGTGACGGCCAAATTTTTTTCCATGATTTTTGCCCCACATCCAAACTCGATCTTAGTGATGCTTTTCCTTCAATGTAATTTCCAGTCTCGGAAACTTCCAGTCCACGCTCTTCTGTAGGCGAATTTCTTATTCCTCCAAATCCGCTTCCAAGTGGCACTACTTTGCCTGTCCCTGAGGTTAAGTCAGGAAAAAATTCAGGCCCTGATAAAATTTTGAACATAATGGAATTTGTTAACAGTTTTGTATGTAGGCCTAGTCTTATAACCCTCTTCTACTTGTAGTTTTTCATGCAAAAGTTCATTTCACGTACAAAAAACCTAGTGTAATTAAAGTTGTTTGTATGTAAATTGACTTTAAATATATATGTATACCCATATATTAATTTATAATTGCTTTAAACCTCTTCATTTGGTTGAGGTTTTTAATGAAAAGTGGGCTTTTAAGTTCTTGTTAATCTGCATCACTTTTATATGAAATTCGAAGTCGTTGGAAGAAAATGCATAATAAGAAAATTTGTTATAAGTAACGTTATATTCTCCTACACCCAAATGTCAGACCTGGTTCTTAAATAGAGTGCTTACAAAATCATTTTAGAATTTTTCAAAATAGTCCACATCCTTCTGCGAACCAATAAAAAGTACCTTAAATTTTGAGAAATATTTTACTATCAAATTATAACAAGAATAGAAATTACTCGACTACGGCAATATATATTTTCCTCAGTCACTCCGCGGTTAAAGAAGCCGAAACGTGAAGCTTACCATTCACATCCATCTATAGTCAATATGCTTGATGCGTGTCGCATTAACTTAATGCGTGGTACTTATTCTCTACACAGTTCCCTTCTATTCTAACAAAATTCCTGAATAATGTCATTCAAATAGGTCACTGATATCCACACCTGACTTTAATTCACTCTTCATAGTCACAACTACAAAGCGTTGTTCGTTACTACATAACCTCAGCAGCTGATAGAGTGTCATAACATAACCTGCACTATCACATCACTAAATTAGCTATGTTTTGGTCCAATTTATATTGTTTGCAGTCTCTTCAGACTTCAATATGAACAAATAAATCAGGAATTTGGGGTGACCTTCAACGGCATAACGCTCATATATTCCGACAAACACGAGAGAGATCATGTCATTGTTTGTCCAAAAAATATAATTATGTGGCCGTTAGTTTTTTTCTTACAACATAACCATTCGCCTACCAAATTTCTTGAAAATCGATATCTCTGAAATGGGAAAGAACATGATTTATACGCAGACGGCATCTCATCTCATAAAAATGTTTTTTCTCTTTAGGAAGAAAAGTGAGTTAAGTTCGGCCCAACTCTTTGTTACCTTGTAAAGATCTGCCCAATGGTGATTTCTTACTTCCGTCTTCAGTAGACAAGCCTTGGACACAAAATACCTGTAACAAGTGACAAAATACAAAACAGTTTAGAGGCTGTGGGATTTATTCGGGATGTACAAAAATCAACTCTCGGATAAGTTACCAGTCTTTCGTGGTCTTTCCAACTATCTCCATGATAACATCCAAGTCCTTAAACTATTCACCATTCATCTCTTTCGACGCTTTTTAACATCTGCAGTTGAAACAGCACTGATTAAAAATCTAACAGTGTTTCTTTAGGTCTCAGACATTCTTTCTACCTCCCTTTGTGTTGACCAAGTGGGGGCTATTGGGTGGTGGGACAGAGTAATGGGTCTAGTTATGAAATTTATTATGTTTATGGTAACGTCGATCTGAAAACGTCTCATTTTGGAAACTGGGTTCTGGTATAGAATGAAACTGATCCAATTTTCCTTAACGTTATGTTATCAACTGAAGAAATATGTTGTGTAATAGCGTCTTTAAAGAAGTCACGTCGAATTTCATCATCATTATTGACAAAAAATATAAGTTTATGAAACGGATAAAACGTATTTTTCGAAGGCATTCATTAATATTTTGCAGGTTATTGCGGACAGAAAACTGTTACTGCATATTCATATCCATATATTGCACTACAGTATTAAATTATATTTTTAATAATTTTTGAAATATTAATAACACAAAAAAGGTTAAATAAAAGTTTTATATCTTAATGCCATACGACAACTGTGTTATTCATTCTGCAGGTGAAAGTTTTCATGTGCTCCAAAATTGTTATTATATATATATAATCTTAAGGTTCATCACACTTATCACTAAATTACTGTACCGAGGGAGGCTATTAAATTTTTGTTAACTCGCTACCATTTTTATTTAATAATAATTTCACCTGTCGTTTCATACGGATATGAAATCCAGGATATGAGGATGCATTGAACAAAATACTGACGAGATTGTTTGATATGAGAGTAAGTAACGGGAGGATGGATAAAACTGCATAATGTGGAGTTTTAAAATTTGCAGAGACTGAACTTCACCAAATAATATCAGTATGATTAAATCAAAAAAGAGCAAAATAAAAACTTCTAGTTAAAGGTTTGGGCTACCTTTTATTAAATGCAATGCCAACTTGATTATCTTCCTCGGAACATGTTATCACGCAAAACATTGGTACTTTTGAGAATTTTCGTAAAAATAATATAGTGCCCTGTGAGGCTGTTGATTGCCCGGAAATGTACGTACTTATCTCGATGAAGCTGCCGTAACCTACTTAAAGCCATACTCTAGACATTGGCATGGAGAGGGCGAAGACAAATGCCGACCGTGGAAGTCACGTACTGCTACATCGGGAAGTCCTGGATTCATATCTCGGCCCGTAAGTTTTTTTCACTGACGTTTTCTGAAGTTTCTCTCAACCATCCAGGAAAATGCCCCGAAAATAACTTGAATTGGCAATAACTATTGCTTTCTTCCAGACACTTTTCAGTCTTTTATTCATTGGTTATTTGACGCTAAATAACTAAGCTGTTAAAGACGTAGTTAAATGAACACGACAAACAAAGAAAATAAGGTACTAACTAACCAACTAGATGGCTTACCAAACCCGAAGGTTCATCACCGAATTAACCAACGTCCTCCACCGGACCCTGTCCTGGGCAAAATAAGGTACTATGAGGTTCGAAATGGGTACTTCCCAAATTCAAGTTGGGTCGACGGATCGAGGTATTCTCTTAGAGGTAAAGTGCTAAGAGTTTGTGGAAGGCCCTCAGGTTCGCGCACACAGCTGCAACGTCCAACGTATGATCACAACGCATTTTCGACTTCTGCGCACGCAACGTCGTGTTATTTCCTTAAAGCGTTATTTCCGGTCATAAGCAGATAGATGTCATTCATTGCCTTCACATTATTAATTCAACAAAGCAGTGTAATTTGTCATCTTCTGTCATTAAGGTCAAAGTGTGTAAATTATTGATGGGTTCTTTGACATATATTCCGTTCTGTGAGAGAAGCAGAACTTGTAATGTGCCCACGAGGGACTTAAGACTGAAAATGCGCGATTCGTAATATACAGACCGCTCATCTAAAGTGGAATTCAAACGAGAAGACAGATGGCTGTCAGTTGCGCTGTGACGTGGTAGGAGGTAAACTAAGCGGTTTCATCCACTGATGCTTCAAGGTTTGGTCTGACTAACCTGGCAATGCAGTGACGTAACGTCTGTCTTACATGGGTCATCTACTGTACCTAACAAGTGGGTATCAATCCTGTATCGTATTCGGGAGGTACCAGGTTCAGATCTCGGCCCGGATACTGGTTATCCTTACTGAAGGTTTTCGTGCTTTTTCTCAAAACCTCCAAGAAAATTCGGGATGGTGCTTTGAACTAGGCTACGACAGCTTCCTTCCACATTTTCTTCTAATTAATTGTTCACTGTCATCATTTTTGTCGAGACTCTATAGTCGTTAAATAATCTTTATATAAATACGCCTGTCAAAGTCGTCAGGTGTGATCAAGGTACACTTGCGCTTAACTAATAAATCAAGCAGAGACGTGAGGGTCGCTTACGGAGAATATAAATGACGATTTTGGTGACAAGCAAATTGGCATAGATCATTAAGAATTACAGTTTTTTGTACAAATAAATCGATGAACAATAATTCTGAACAGCCTGTGTCGGCAGTAGCTGTGGAACACAAATCAAATGTTCTGTTACCATCGACAAGCGTGAGTAATGTTGCCATTGTCATCATAGTCCAATTGTCTCACCAAAACGTAATTAACATTCCAGTTATTTCATGAAAACAAAAACAACAAAATTATCTGCCCATTCGATATCCCTCGGTATAAATCCAATTCATTATCTCCGACTCGCTCGAAATGAATTATTTCTTGTGTTTCTGTGTCATTTATTTTCTGTTTTTGTTTGCTGTTGGAATGGGTCACTTGTACGACGTTTGAATTGTAACGCAACATGAAGACGACGTGCGTGCGTACACGCACACACACACATATGCCATATGCATGCACACGGAATAATAGTAATATATGTCTTAAATATTTTATTATATGCCATATGCATGCACACGGAATAATAATATAATATGTCTTAAATATTTTATTAATTCTGTACCATTATTAAAAGTAAAGTAAATTTATGAACAACTGATGTGACGTAGAACATGGTCATATTCAGCCGTTGAGCACAAACCACCAAGAGAAGGGAAAACTGATTTTAATACTGGGGAGTGTTACGAAGAATTATAAAAGCATTTCAGTTTTAATTTAGGGCTGACAATTTTAACAACCACTTTACATAATAGTACAAATAATCATTTGAAGTTATCTCAAATACCTGAGAGAAACTTTTATATAAATTTATTTTAGTTTGGTTAGATAAACATTTATTACAGTATTAATTAATTAAAATTTGTCTTAATCAAAGATGACGTAATGCGTAATTCAGTTTAATTTTCGTTTTCCATTTGGCTACAGCTTTTGTTACTCGGTTTGTTCGTGTCTGATTCTGGGACAAGACACACAGGGAATTTTAAAAGACGCATACAAATTTTTGGTGAAAGAACGTTTCTGTCAGAGACCATTTATAAGACACAGACTATGTTAGAAGAAAAAACCGGATCTAATTGATAGGGTGTGAATGATGAATTTTGTGAACCTGGTGATTAACGTTGTGTTTGTTAAAAACTCTGCCCCTTCAACCCTCTGAATTTTTCCTGTCACGTTGGAGTAGCTGTAATTAGAATTTCTTTACTTGTATTAGAAAACAGTGTTTGATTCTGTGGACTGGATTTGTCTGGCTCAGGACAGGGACCGATGGCGTGCTTTTGTGGAAACGGTAATGAACCATCCGATTCCATAAAAGCCAGGGAATTTTTTGGCTCACTGAGCTGCTAGCTTTTCAACAATTCTGCGTTGTGCTGCTCAAATTTATGTATGGTATAAATTATCTTATATAAAACGTATCATAATTGAATCTGTAATTTATTGTTAAATATATACCTATAAAAGATAAATAGGATAAATAAAATAATCCAACGTGTCATTTATAATCCCCTCATATATTCTAGGCTGTATAAATTACGTCATTAAATTAAGTATGAGACAAAGTAAGAAGCAAAGGATATAGGATTTGAGACTTTCGCGGCGAATACAATCAATAAAATCTTCTCGGGCAATCAGCCGCTTTAACTGGTTTATTTAAGCAAAGGAGTCCGACGTTCACATTAAAATTCTTCCTTGGTAAAGATAAAAACAGTTTGTTAACCCGAATCTTTGATACCTACCTGCAAGTCCACACAAACCAGGTCACCATCACAGTCATATTTCACTTTTATTTGTTCTGTTAATTTTATATAATTGTTTTTTCTATGTCAAATTGCTCAGAAGCTCAAAGTAGCTCAGCTCATTAAGAAATTCCCCCGTCTTTGCGTTTTTTTTTTCTAGTTATAGGTCCTTAGGATTGGTTGTCAGCCCCATTACGGGGCTTTTTCTTCAGAAAATACCACGGTAGTTTCGCCTTGCCTTCCGTGGCCAGTCTTTACCTACCAGACTGGAAGAGGAGACGAGGACAAACATCCGTGCCTTGAGTCGGACTCGAACCCACGGTCCCAGCGGCCAGGCATCTTATAAAACATGAAATCCCGCTATTTTACCCAATACTGAGTGAGGTAAATTCGGTGAACAACAACACACCGTATTTATTTAAGATCCATTTTAGTATTATCACCCATTTCGCGCTTAGATTTTACAAAGTGGGGTAATATCTTCAGTTCAGGTTTTCCTTTAAAATATTTATACGCATTTCTCATCTCTGCCACGTGTCACACGCCTCGACCATCTTACAATCCTTAATTTGATTACTCTAGTAATTTTTGGATAAAAATCCAAATTTTGAAGCACCTCGATTTTAAATTTTTCGAAAACTTACTATTACGCCCTACTTCTTAAGTACAAATACTATCCTCATCACCCTGTTCACAGGCACCCTCAAACTTTGTTCTTATTTCACAGCTTTACATAGATTAATTATTTTGTTAATATCACATACCGACACAATTAATATGAAGGCTGTCGATTTTTCACACATCTTCATTTAATCACACACGACAAATCTTTAAAATACCATTAAATTTACGTTGCTACAGTCGTCACAGTTCTGTCGAACACATTTTAAAACAAGTCTTCTCTCCGTTACATTGATCAGTAGGTTCCATGTGTTGTTTCTTTATATACATAATCCTTTAATAGAACATGAGTGACATTAGTCACAGCGTGTAATATGCAGGCTTCATTACAGCACCGCTTCATATTATGTATTCGTGGCATGAAATATATAAAACGAATACATAATGTTTTTACCGTATAGTCTGAATGTTTAATCTCTGAAACCACTTAAAGGATTCAGATAAATTTCCTTCCAGGTCTCTTAAGTTGTCGAACGTACTTAGTTTTTATTTGTGTAATTAATATATAGATTTTGTATAAGCGTTGATACAGTATGTTTAGAGTAATTAAAACGTACATAAGCCACTTTATGACATAACATTTACGGATTGTTACCAGATCATTATCATTCACAGACTCAGATGTCAATAGATGAGAACAACAATGGAATATCCGGAGTAATACTGGCCTTCAAAGTTTCAATGTTACTTTCATACGCGTTTTGGTCATATCATATTAACCTTAATATAAAATTGTATTATATTTTATGAAGGTAAAATCTCCCTTTACAAAATTCAGATAACTATCATACGTAAAACATTGTTAGTCACTTTCAAAGAAAAAAAAAAGAATTTAGTACATTTATCGTATTGTTACTCTGACGTCATCGTGTCGCTTGTTTTTACATATAATATTTGATATTATATCTGCATTATATAAAAAACAGTTTTATGATTTAAAGCTTTCTTGCTATGTATTTAAATGGGAGCGGACCTCGTAGAAAACGTTCAGATAGCATAACGATCTTTTTTGTGTTCTTCTGTATAACGGCATATTTTGAGAATAGGAGATGAAAGTACAAAATAAATAGTTTTTCGTTGAATTTCGAAGGTCGCGTACACTTTTATTGAATAATCGGTTGCAGTTATCCTTAAATGAATTATAAAAACATCTATTTTAAAGCTTTGAGACCTTGTCTGGGGAATCCCGTATAGCATTACAATTAATAGAGTCATTATATTCGCCCGTGTATTATCCTTTCATGTAAATGAAACGCGATTTCTCCATTTGTTTGGGTATCGCGTGTGGTTTTTGTTTCCATTGATCATAGGACGTTCCCAAAGTAGGCTCACTTGTCATTAGTTTATTAAGAATTCTTTGCACACATCGTGTCTGTCCGCATATTTAATTACACATATACTGATCGAATTCGATTAAAATTGATATTGAGTTTCTACATTAAAGACTGTTTAGAGAATTCAGTGTTGATTTTTATCGGTCAGATATTATTTATTATTATTTTAGTGTTCTGTCTGAGGACAGGTCCATATGAACAGGATCCTTCCATCCTTTTCTCGGACTGGGACCTGTTCATATACGTTCTTGGCAGATGATCCAGAAGTGGTTTGCCATTGCCTTCTTCTGTGTGTGAATGGGATGCCACGGAGAAACCGGGGAAGCCCCCGGAGGAAAACTCCGTGTTGCCTAGACCACGGCCTTGCCCAACACAAGTTATAAATTCGGTCACCGCCGGGAATCGAACCCGAGACCCCAGGCGGTCAGATATAAACCTAAGTTTACAAGAAGCTCATATTCAGTGCCAAATTTGTCTCGGATTTTGCTCATCGTCTGAAATGAATTGTAGGCCTGCTTAATATAAAATGTGGAGATGATTAAGATTTTCCTATAGCCTTTATTTGATTATCTTCACAAACGTTTCAGACGTAAATATATAATCTGTTATCTTGTATGTAATTTTATATTATGGTTGTATTTGCACCATAACAGCAGGGCTATTGGCGTCTATTGTTTCATTCTTTTCTTTAAAGAAATACACATCTATACATTTCGATACTAGTCTGTCTTCATAATCCGAGTACGTTAAATTTTATTATGATATAATTTATATGCCTTTATTTATATGTAATTTATTTAATGACGCTGTCTATAACTCAGGGTACTTAGCACCAAATGATAGGATGATCAGTGAATAATGAATTGGAAAGGATATAGAAGGAAACGGTCATGGGAATTTACGTAGAGGGACTGAAAAAATAAATATTAAAAACCTAATTCAGAATAATTAACGCACGTGTGGTTTAGCGACCTCAGCGCCACTCTTCCGAAACCCCCAAACATTGCATGGCCACGCGGAGTTGTTATACTGAGGACATCAAAAGCTAAACAATTGACTGGTGACACTGTTGTCATGGGAACGGAAATATCTACCGGGTGTGTCACATAGTTTATAACATCAAAGAATGTTACAAATATTTGACGATCTGTTTTTCAAGGCAATCACTTGCACCACCATAATGATGATAACTCGGTGGAGCAGCGTTATGGCTCGGCTAATATGAAACTAATAGGTCCATTAGCCATCCGTGTTCATAGGAGCCCGTTCCGGCCACTACTGTAAGTGAATTTCATCCAGTCCAAACCCCCACCCTCCATTTCTTTAAGATCTATTTTAATATTATCTTTCATCTATATATAGACCTCCCATGTGATTTCTTTCCTCTATATTTTGCAGTTAGAATTCTGTATGCATGTGTTTCATATATGTATATATATCCAGCGCGTGCTGCATGATCTGTCCTCTCATCTTTCTTGAATTGATTATCCTCATGATGATAATGGTCCATATTATTACCACGTTGCATACCGAGCGTAGCGGTTGAGTAGTTGGTACTCCTGCTTTGAATTCGGGGGGGACTTGGATTATAATAGAGCCTGGAGACCGGCTATCAAAGTCTTCCTCCTGCTTTGAATTCGAGTAGAAAGATGGTATGACCCGTTTTTCCCTCACTCTTTTCCATCTGGATGCCATGTGATGTTATATAAACTTTGCAGTTGGAAAATATTTGTTAACTTTAGGTACGAACGCCATAAGCGATACTTAATAAAGGGCACTGAAACTATATCACAAGACATTTTCACAAACATATGGAACCTGGTAATTGTTTGTGGAATTTAAATAACAATATGGCTGCCGCGCGTAACCATTTAGTTTTGTGGTTTTTTTTCTTTCAGTGTGATAGCGATAACTAATGAGTCATATGAGACAGGCGTATGAAATTTGGTATGGTAATAAATCATCAACATGTAAGACTTCAGGTTTTTACTTCGGCTAGTGTGAAGATAGCTGTATTCTGCACTTTTACGCACCCCTGAAACGTCGGTAAACTTATACCAGAATACACGGCTCTACATCCCATCACATCATCAACACAGGCTACATATTCTGACCTAAGCACTTTTCAGGGCTAAACGTTAACAATTGATAACACATTTAAAATTTATGAGATCTTATGTGACAAATTCGACGTTCTTCAAAGTCGCGGTTGAGTGGTTATCATTTCAGCTTCGTATACGGCAGATATAACTTTCACATTTCAGCCCGGGGATCGGCCATCCTTCAAAAGCTTCTAGTGGTTTTACTCAGTCCCTCCAGGCAGATTCTGTGACAGTAACTTAAATTATGCCACATTCTGTTACTTCCACATATTTTCCAATTCGTTATTAATTAATTATCACATCATTCGACGCTGGCATATTCCGGCAGCGTCGTTAAATAAACCACAATTAAATAAATATTAGTGTATCGTTTGCTGATTTATAGATTGGAGCATTTTAAGGAACATAAGCTTTTCTCAGGACCTCCCATACTCCAAGTCGTCAGTGTTTTTTGGAGAGAGAGTCGACACACCGCGAAGGTTATCACGCGTTGTTGTCCATAGAAACAAATGAAGAATTGGTGATACGTGGTCTTTTAAGTCTTTGTCAAATGGGCCTAAATTTAGAATCAGGATTACGGAAATATGATCCATGTCCTCGCACAGATTTTCGACGTCTCTTGGCTCAGTCTTTTTTTCCCAGATTTCATCGGCGCGCGTTCTTTTGCTAAAAGAAAACTTTATTACTACACAAGTCTTGAACTTTGTCTGCTGGAATAGGGAAGTTTTATGTGAAGTATAAGAAAAGAATGAATACATGTAGCCACTTAGCTATTGACGTTTGAGATAATATGCCTCGGAAAAATAAGATGTCTTCAGAAATAAGAAAAGAAATATACTTTCGTACACTTCGTGAACTTGGAACTGAATATCTTGAATTTCTGAATGCGTTCTTTCAATAAGGGGATCCTGGGTAGATTATCAGCCCCCGAAACCCCATTTTTCCTTCCGCTAGAAAGAGAACCGAAGATGCAGTATTTTTGTGCGGGCTCCGTTAAGTGATGTAGACCGTCCTTCGACGCTAAGAAGGCAACCCCGTAAAGAGAAACATATCTACAGTGTACTTGAATTTGTAGTTATCTTAATGGAAATGTTTAATATTTATTTCTTTCATACATAGTTAATTTCTTCGAACAATTTTCCTGTATTTTATTTCTTACTTTCATGTAATATTTCTTCCATTATTTTTGTTTTATTATTTTTTGTTCTCGGATTCTAACTCTTGTTATTTCTCCTCCTTCCTCTTACTGTAGTTATTCTTTTTTGTCTCCCTCTTTTTATTCTTTTATATTTCCCTTTCTTGTAGCTGAAAGGGTTAACTACCACAACAACGGAGCTTCGGTCCGCGAATCGGATGGAGGGCACTTACGATGTCAGGGTGTCCATTCAGTGTCGTGTTGATATTGATAACGAAACAGGAAACATGAACTTTGAGGTCCAGTGGCTGTCAGTACCATTATCTGGAAAATCCCAGTTCTTGGCTCGGAGGCATGACTGGCGACTTTATTTCATTTCTGTAGTCTCTGCAGACGAATCCTAGGAGATTAAGTTAGTTTAGGCCACATTCTATAATACAAAAAGTAACAAACTTTTAAGAAATAAAAGTAAAATTACGTTATAATGAAATATAATGGTACCAACGATCCATCCAGTTCTTTTCCAATACAATATCCGTGATAAGTTTTCCATTCGACAGCTGATAAAAGCTTCCTTCAATAAACTGTGGATAAAATAATTTATTTTGTAACCTTCAACCAGACTTGTCCGGCTAACACGGTTTAGTCTAAATTTGTCCCTGTGTCTAAACCCCAC